CAGTGATAAGAGCCTACCCATAAACCAAAAGCTTGTTGTTTCAACCCCAGCTGTAACCAAATGTCGGTCATGTATTTTTTGGACAACACAATCTCCTCCCTGTGTGGATGTGGTGTGAGGATAATCTGTAGTTAATCAAAGTGCCAGCCTCACTTTTCTGCCTGTAATGTGATGAGTGAATGAATAATGCATGAAATGTGTCTGCATAAGCACTGTAAATGTACTCTTTTTTACTCCAGGTTTAACACTAGAACTCCCAGAGCAGTCAATTTGATGGCTTATAGTTTTGGAGGCATAATTACTTGTATGTAGCTTTGTGGGCTTGATTATTTGACTGTCCTTGTAACATTAATAAAGTTTGTCTCATCTTATATTTGTGACTATTTATCTATCTATTTGTAGTTTGGAGCCAGTGCTAGTTACCATAGCAACACACTGTTTACTTGTCAGCAGTTTGCATTTGGTAGCCTCTCAACAAACGGCTTTGGCTGTATTTCAGTTTGTGTATTCACCAGTTTTGTACTTATTGAAAGTGAGTTTAAGGTAAAACACCTTTAAAATACACTACTACTGTCTGGTGAGCTTATTCAGTCCTTTTTGTGTGCATTAAGGCCAATCAAATGTGTGTGAACTCTTTCTTTTGTGCATGTGAAGCACTTTGGGCAGCTGGTGTGAAAGTGCCATACAAATAAAGCTGACATTGACATGCTAAATTCAACCTAAATGCAGCTTAAAACAAGTAAGTGTTAGTTACTAGCACTGGTTAGACCCGCCCATGCTCACCTCTGCAGCTTCCTGATTGGACGAAATATATTGAAATCCATGAGGCCCCTCGTCATTGGTTAAACTATTGTCCTCCAGCAAATCTTACTGGCCGTAGTTATGCCAAGAAGAGTGAAAATTTGAAAGTTTAAAAAAAAATGTTTTAATCTTTTTTGATGTTCTTATTGTTTTGCTATACAAGAACAGAGAGACTGTACGCTCTGTTTGTTCTGGGTTTTCTATTAACCCTAAACTCACTCCATTCCATTTAATTTCACCAATTCCAACCGTCGACAGTCACATTTCTCAACACTTTGACTCAATATAAGCTTCAAGACGCCTTCACAATAGCCACTTACTCAGAAACATACCAACACCATAGTGGATTCATAACCCAAAGCTACGCATGAAAAATGTTGGTGTAGGGAAACCATTTTACAAACACAAATAAATCACATCAGATGCCATCTCTGCCACCTCTGTCTCTCCATTTCAATTTTTCCCCGCATTGCACGTATTGTATCTTTGTGGCTGTTTGTATCTGGGGGCAGCTTGGAAACAAACTCATCTCCACCAAGCTCTGAATTAATCACACAAAGCGACAGCAGCAGCCATCACACTGTACAGCATGTGCGATTCTTCAAACGAAACCAGGGGCCGTATTCCTAAAGATTCTTAGTGCTAAAAGTTGCTCCTAGCGGCCAAATTCTAAGAATTTTCTTAGAATCTTGACCAACTCTTAGAATTTCCCCTAAAAGTGAGGAGTAGCTTCTAGTTAAGAAAAAAGCTATTCCTAAAGAATCCTAGCTCTTAAGAGTGCTCCTAAGGTGAGATCCCTTAAGAGTTGAGAGGAGGACTTTTAGCAACTTAAAAGTTCCCTAAGAGGACAAAATGGTGGACGGTAGAGGCAGGAGAAATATTCTATACACTGGATGACAGTGAATCACTAAAACGCTGCAAATTGGATCCTGCAGGAATCATGTTTAAAAGTCAATCATGTAAAAGTCATCATGTACAAATATACAGTTTTGTTTTATTAACAGCAATCCAGTTCAAAAGGGAGTGTGAAGAAGTTAATACTTTTAAACTCCCACCCTCTATTTATCATTCTAAATTAACTTAAATAGTGTGGTTGCTACAGCTTAGTTTATTCCATGGTGTATTTACAGTTATGCAACAGTGACATTCACAATAACATGCACTTGATTTGTGTATGTATAAAATGCTTATATTCATATTTTTTCCTTAATTCCCTTTACGTCTTTCAGTATCACAGCCTTTACTAATCCTAATGCTATCATAATCATCTATATATAAGTGCTCATGTTATATAGGTTTGTTAAATATGTGTGATAAATTGGTGCTGAGCAAGCTCTAATGATGTGGTGTAAGTTAGACAATATTAGTAAATACATCTGACTTTCTACCTTTTCTGATTATTACAATGACACAGTCTTCCTAAGATTAGATTCTATGATTGAGTTTGTCCATTAGAGGATCCTTATTTTGGCCATTATCAAAAATATGGTTTCTCTAACTTTTAGGATCAACCAATCACAGCGTCTGAAATGATGACTCATACCTAGCAACGGGGTCGGCCACGCCTCCTCACTAAGATAAGAGTTGTTGTCAATTCCTTGCTCAGAGTTCTCTAAGAGTGTTCTGGAATAACTTTTAAGCTAAGACTCCTAGCTAGGAGTTTTTAGGTTAAGATAGGAGCTCTCTGAGAGGACTCTTAGAATCTTTAGGAATACGGCCCCAGGTGTCCTTCAACTTCTGTGAGGTTTTATCAACTACACACACACACACACACACACAGACACACTCACAATCACACAGGCAACAGTACAGGCAGGTGGTCCAATTTGCATGTACACACAATTACACACAGTAAAAAACATGAAAAAAAAACAAAAGGGTTCAGGTACGACGGAAGACAGCATTCTTTTTTAAAACTGTAGTACAATTCAGTGCTACTGCATTCATGAGGCAGACGTATTGTGTGAGAAACATCCAGATGCACGCAACCCTCTATTGCACACAGTCCTCTCACACATGCCTTTCCTTCTTTTGCACTCATTGTTTCTGTTCAGCCATGTTGGCAGCTCTGATTGTCCAGGAGCCATGATAAAGAATGAGTTGAGTGATGGCAGTTCACCTATTGAGGTAAGGAGTCTTCCCTAATGGTGAAAGTGAAAAAGGAGGAGCAGGAGCGAAAAATCAACGCCCACAGGAGATGGATTCTGCTCATCCTTTCCTTGCGACGTTCGTGCGACAACCAATCAGAGAGCAGCAAAGTGGTCACGGGGACATTAGCGGACTGAGCGAGCAGACTGAACATACTCATAAACAGCCAAAACAGGACCCACACCAGACTTCACCAGAACTCAAACCAGGGTTGACAATGGGGGACTCTGTGCTTGTAAAAATATGCGTTGTCATGCTCCCGTGACCTCATGCAACTGCTTCGAGTGTGTTCGCCGATGAGGACACGCTGCAAAGCTGCATATTGGAGAAGATCTGTACACAAGAAGCCGCTAGCATAGCTCTGTTAGCATTAGAGCCGGCCGGCTACTTCCGGTACTTCCGGCTCGCGTCAGGACGTTCTGGTGTGAAGTCCTCTGCGTCTGAAAACTAGAGAATGCGCGTCTGGTGAGCGGGGCTTCCGCGTTTCAGCGTTGGCGGTCTGAAAGTCCCATAACTCAACAGCTGTTGTAGTATTCCATTGTTCAGGGTTTTAGGGCCCTACACATTATCTGAAATGTCTAAAAGGTTGAGTAAGGATTGAAATAATTGTCCATTCACGAAGCAATGCCCATTGTCTCTCTCCTATTCATGTTGAAAGGTCACTTTATTTGTACAGTCATATTGAAAATGTCTCCAGTTAGGGTTAGGGTTAGTCTCATTCTTGTTTTATTGGTTGTTCAATAGAATATAGTGCAATCACGAGACTAGATATTACAAAATTACTTGATACCAATACCATGGCGATTATTTATAAATACCAAAGCAAATTCCTAGAATGTGAATTTGTAAAGTTCGCTGACAATGACAATTAAAGATTTTAATTCTTATTCTGGTCATATAAATCTCAACAAATATTGCAACAAGGTATTTTACAATATTTTCTGATATAGTTCAAAATATATCCAAAAATACTCAAAACAGTTGAGATTTGTCCAATTTATTTCATTGTATTCAGTATTTATACTTACTCAAATTAGTAATTAGATAAAAATAATTATATTCTTTTGACACCCGTAGTTCAAATAATGACAGATTTAAAATTATCGGACGAATATGGATTAGCAAGATTATGACCGAGATAGCTACAGTATACATTTTGTATGATTCCACTAAACAAATGACGAACAAAGACAAATACAAATACAGTTTTCTAAATCACAAGTGGTTGGCAACAGTCTTTGTAATCACTCCAATCTTAGCAGGTGTCCTTGAAATGGTCTCAACCAATCAACAGACAGACAGACAAGCGCCATCAGCACGCCTTTTCACTTGTCTGAATGTGAAACCACTTACATAAGGCCTCCTTCTCTCTAAGCTGCATTGGACAAGGTCACTCTGCAGTTGATGGGCCACTCAATCAAGCCGGCCCGGTTTACCCGTCATGTGGTCAAAATCTCTTAAGAACACACTTAATCCAGACTGTACATGGAGCGTATAGGCAAACCGCATCAGAAGAAGCTCGCCAATGTCGCCTTCAGCTAATGCTCATCAATCAGCTGTTCGGTAGAGTCTCCCATCTGGCTTCCCAAAAAGACCACTTGCTACAGTTATATATTTGTGTACAGAACAAAAATATGACTCAACAAAACACATTATGATTCAGGAAGCTCTTTGGGAACAGCTGTATTTTTTAAAAGGTTTGACAAAAACAAACTTAACAGGCCTGTATAATCGGTGCCGAAATATTCAAAGCGACTAAAACCTTTCAGAAATGAATGTTTAATTTTCAACAGAGATGAAAATGTGTCCTTGATGTGCAGCAGCAAGGGCGTATTGACGTTGGATTCAAACAGATCGATAATGGCAGCGAATTACGGTGCTGTACATTTATGATGGATTCGGTTGATAATATATATAATTATACGAATATTTAACTGTTTCCCACCTCTACACCTTCTCCACCGACTCCCACTGATGACTGCTGCCGTTGTGTCCTTGGGCAAGACACTTGACCCCACTTTGCCCAAAGCCCCCACTGAAAGATCAAGGCTATGCTCACACTCAGAGAGCAGCCGTCCTCCTGTGGACTCACCACCTGCAGAGGGTCAGTGAGGGGCTGGTGCTATGAGACTTGGGTGGCATCTCTGACTGCCACCCCCCTGACCCAGAAATGGATTAAAGGGTAGAAAATGGATGGATGGATGTAGTGTTGTAATGTAATGTTTAACAATGTAAGAACAGTTTCATGTCACCACTCAAGGAAGATGGATAGACAGATACATAGATAGATACTTTATTGATCCCCCGTGAAAGAAATTCCCGGAAGTACTCGGCTTGTATCCAGCCCGAGCTCGAGGCCGGGCTGGTCGTATCACAGCCGACCCCTCTCACCCTGCACATGGACTATTCCATCCACTCCCCTCAGGCAGGAGGCTGCGGTCCATCAGGACTAGAACCTCCCGCCACAAGAACAGTTTCTTCCCCTCTGCTGTTGGACTCTTGAACACTTCTTAACCTGTCCCCCCGCCCTTTATAAAGTAACTTTACTGCCCATCATACGTCACTTTACTTCACTGTACTGCTGTCACCTTACATTGTGTGCACCATGTGCACTTGTATATTGTAAATAGTAACTGTAACTCTATTTTAAATTTAAATTTATTCTTTAGAAGTGTTTTTTTATTCTTATTTTTATTATCTCTTTTTGACTGTTGCAGTGAGCCAAAGCAATTTCCAAGTCTGTGACCTCCTGTTACTTACGTGGCAATAAAAATGATTCTGATTCTGATTCTGATTCTGAAACCGTAAATAAATCCAGTTGTTTTTTTTGTGCGTCAAAAGTACAAATAAAGCCAACCAAAGAGCCAACCAAAGAGCCAACTAAAGAGCCAACCAAAGAACCAACCGAAGAGCAAACCAAAGAGCCAAACAAAGAGCCACCCAAAGAGCCAACCAAAGAGCCAACCAAAGAGCCAACCAAAGAATCAACCAAAGAGCCAACCAAAGAGCCGACCAAAGAGCCGACCAAAGAGCCAACTAAAGAGCCAACCAAAGAACCAACCGAAGAGCAAACCAAAGAGCAAACCAAAGAGCCAAACAAAGAGCCACCCAAAGAGCCAACCAAAGAGCCAACCAAAGAGTCAACCAAAGAGCCAACCAAAGAACCAACCAAAGAGCCAACCAAAGAGCCGACCAAAGAGCCGACCAAAGAGCCAACTAAAGAACCAACCGAAGAGCAAACCAAAGAGCAAACCAAAGAGCCAAACAAAGAGCCACCCAAAGAGCCAACCAAAGAGCCAACCAAAGAGTCAACCAAAGAACCAACCAAAGAGCCGACCAAAGAACCAACCAAAGAGCCGACCAAAGAGCCAACCAAAGAGCCAACCAAAGAGCCAACCAAAGAGCCAACCAAAGAGCAAACCAAAGAGCCAAACAAAGAGCCAACCAAAGAGCCAACCAAAGAGCCAACCGAAGAGCCAACCAAAGAGCCAACCAAAGAGCCAACCGAAGAGCCAACCAAAGAGCCAACCAAAGAGCCAACCAAAGAGCCGACCAAAGAGCCGACCAAAGAGCCGACCAAAGAACCAACCAAAGAGCCAACCAAAAGAGCCAACCAAAGAGCCAACCAAAGAACCATCAAAGAACCAACCAAAGAGCCAACCAAAGAACCAGCCAAAGAGCCAACTAAAGAGCCAACCAAAGAACCAGCCAAAGAACCAACCAAAGAACCAATCAGAGAGCCAACCAAAGAGCCGACAAAAAAAAGAACCATCACTGGTCCCTTCCCGCTCACCCTACTCATGAGTTTAAGCAGTTTTCAGGGACAGCCGGCTCCTGATGTCAACTGTTAGGTGACATATCTGTATTTTCAAAAACCATCATCACAACATAAACGGCAAGTGACCATTAAACCAGAGAATAAAAGCCCAAAATGAGTGACACAGACGTACGTGAAGCCAAAATAAAACCTTTCATAATAATATTTAAAACCTGCATTACATGATGACATTTTGAGAAGGGGTTGGAAGAGGAAAATACTAGCAAAAATCTAAAACCCCTCAGGAGCAGAACAAATCCCATGAGAACTTCCTTATAAGACTTCATAGAGCTAGCGGGACGGTCTATACTTTTAAGCATCCATCTGAGATACATGTATGGATCATTTATGATCAGTTATGATTTGTTATAATTCATTTTTTTCCTATCAAACTAAACTGTTAAGCAGATGGTTGAGGTTTGACATTGGACTTTTCACCATACATTTTCCCAAATCCAGTGTTAGGTCAGAAGAATAGGAATCATTTGTTTTGCCATGTCAGGAACAGGAAGTCACAAACTAGGGAAATTGCTTTGGCTCTCGGTCCAAACAAGTCAAAGAAGAGAGGTAGAGAAAACATTAAGGAACATAGTAAAAAAAAAGGTGAAAGCGGTGGGAGATATACACAGACATCTTGTTAACCTGTGCCTTTCCTCTGGTCTTACTGGAACTATTAATCAAACTTTACTGATATACTGTATGCAAGATTCTAGTGTGAAGTGTAGTAGCACAGCAGTAATGAATTATACTCTCTAATTTGTACTGGGGTCACTATAGCAGATGCAGTGGCTGAGTGGAGGTAAATGAATTATTGGCTCTTTTTGTTTTAGTGCCGTCTGCAAACATGTGGAAGTGTATTTGTCTCTATTATGCGGTCATGATAAACGAAACAGCAAAAAGGGAGAGAGGAAAATGAAACTGCACCTGAATCACAGTGAGCCCCTCGTCACGGTTAAATACAGCACGCCACCCACAACTCCAAACACCAGTATTTGCCTTTAGTAAAATAATATTCATGCTCACCCATGTTATTTTCACAGTAATATTGTCTGGTTTCATATTCTAAGTGCATCCTTCAGTCCTACTTGGGCCGCACGGTGGGAGAGTCTCTCTGTCTGGAGTTTGCATGTTAATAATAATGCATCGTTTTGTATAGCACTTTTCAGGACACTCAAAATCACTTCACATGTCATTACTCTTTCACTCCATACACAGTGGTGATAAATGACTACTGTAGCCACTGCTTTCCTGGTGCACACTGACAGAAGTGACGCAACTAGTATGTGCCATCCGACCCCCACCAGCCATTCACACACACACCAGACACATTCTAGGCAATGTGGGTTAAGTGTCTTGCCTAAGGACACATGTGCAACAGGTTGGCACTTTACAACCGCAGCCGCCTCACTGTGGCACCCGGTTTTCCCAGAAGTCTCCCATCGCAGTACTAACCAGGCCCTGAGGTCTGACGAGGTCTGGCTTTCTCATGCAAGTATGGCCACATTTACCCCATGTCTGCTTTGGTTTCTTTTGGGTGCTACGTAAACTGGAGCCTGCAATGATCAGAGGTCAATGGTCAATGATCTAAGTTGGTTATTGCTCATATTTTCAATCTCCTATTTTGGTTTCTGACATGAGGCTTTAGGAAGGGGGTTAACATGCAGGAGCAGAAACAGTAGTGAAACAGTTTTAAGTTGTAACCTACAACATATGCACTAATAAATATTGAGTGGACCATTACATTACATTACAGTGAGATGAGGGGGGCTTAAATCAGCACTTTCCTAAGCTCCTATCATCTATATCAGCCATTCCCAAACTCAGTAACACCGAGGCCCCCTTAAAAATCTGACGGGTCTGCGTGGCCCCCCAAAATAATAACCAAGAAGACAACATTAAGAATAGGCTCTTCTGGTTATTTTATTTTGGGGAAATAGCCTCTGCTACAAACATTGTAATACAAAAATGATTACAGTGGATTATTCAAGTCAAATAATGAACACAAATATTCTAATATTACAAACAAAACATTATAAATTTAACATTAAATAATTATATTATTTTTTTTTATTTTTTTTACGTCCTCCACAGGAGGACGGCTGCTCTCTGAGTGTGAGCATAGCCTTGATCTATGACCAGGGGGCCGCAGACCCCACTTTGGGAGACACTGTCCTACGTCATCGCCACCATTTTGGCACCCGCTAGCGTTTCTAGACGGAAGTGAAAAAGTGCAACTTCAAAGCCGTTTTTTTTACATAATTCATCTGAACATGTCAAAATGAACACCCAAAATATTATAAACACATTAGTATATATTAGTTATATATTCTGGATAGCAGTATGGTAAATTCTAGTACTACTTTAAATTCACAGACTTTATGTCTGCCATCTTGGATTGCTTTCGCTTTCCCTTTGTATTCCAAGACATTGGCTGTCTGGGAGACCTCCTGTTATGTTTTAGATACCAGCAAGATTTTCCGGCCCAAAATCTAGAAAAATAATTCCCCAAAAAATGTTTTTGGCTTGTTTCTTGTTTCAACACAAGGAAATGATTAACAAGCTTTGACCTGTTCTCCGACTGTCTAATTTTAGAAACAATATTCAATCAAATGAATGCAAAAGTAAGTGTAGTAGTGTGGACAGTTTATGCGCCCACCAGCTGGGGCACCAGACGCTACACTATAAAACCCCACTACTTATTGACGTTTGTCCTGCTTGCCGTCTGTACTTCTGGGTACTGGTCGCTCGGCTTGTTTGGTAATGAAAACATTTCGATATTTTTACAGTTGGTGTGTAGGTTGGTCCTCATCAGGCATGTTGTTGAGGTAGTGGCGCTGATGGCTCCGGAGGCGCTTTCAACGGGCAGCTGGGTGACGCTTCACTGTAGACCGGGTGTGTGTGGTCCCTGGCGGTCCTCTGAAGCTGAGGAGTCATTCCCTCCCCAGTGAGAACTCTTGAGAGCGTGTCCTACCTGATGTGGTATGTCTGTTGTACTGGCCCTACTTGCCAAAATGGGATTTTAATATGTGATGACTTAGTTTTAGGAACGGCCTGAGTGACCCAGGTGCACAGCACAGCACAACCACTGATGTATTTTATTACTTTTCCTGTTGACTACATATGAATAATGCAAATAGTGCAAGTACTGCAACTAATTTGATATGAATAATGAGTGCATACTACTCTGAAGAAAGTACAAAATAAGCTAAACTTGATGAATAAAATGTGCCTAAATGGAACCTTTTGTTCTCACTCCATCCCCTTATCAGTGTCCTTATAGTTTGTTTTAATTATTATTTCAATTTAGACCTTAGTATGAACCCTCAGTTTGTCACATAGGCAACACCGACCTCAGCTTGTGTGATGGAAAGTAATGCGATCGTTATTTTTCAGTATTTCATACACAGAGGTCATTCAGTGTGCTTTGTTGTATTTGATAGTGCTCCTTCTTCAGGTGGAGAGGGATGCCACCCTAAAAATTACACACCTTTCCCATATCAAACGCTGTGTGTAAGTGAGAAAGCGAGTCTGCTCTGCTGCCTGCACGGTGTCACAGGAGGAGAGATCTAAACCTTGAGCACCGATGTTTTGGCAACAAAAAACCTGCCAAACTGATCAGAAACCAGCCCAATTTTTATCCACCCACCCTATTTTACCTGCCAAATATATAGCAAAACTGCCCAATTGGGGAGGAATCCATCTGGTCTTAGTCCACTCTTGTTTTATACTTTGAGGAAGAAAATTCATAAATAAATTGGACATTTGCTTATTTTCATACTGCCTTGCAGTTTTGGCTCATTTCAATGTCTATTGTTTTAAGCGCGTGCTCATCGTTTTTTCTCTCTTTGTTTTGGGATTTGGTCCGGGCGTGGTTCCTCTCGGGGAGGAATAGAGTTGATAAATATGCCCACTGCTGCACCATCACTCCTTTGTATGCCATAGTATTTGCACCTCCCTTCACCACTTGCGCATTTTAAGTTTGCCTCTCTTTTTTGCTGATTTTGTGTGTGTGAATTAATGTGTGTGTGTGTGTGGCATGGAGCTTAGTGAGTGCTCTATTCCAGCTTATCAGACATTTAATAATAGAAATAAAAACATATGTTTGATCACTCTTCGCATCCCACCATCATTCCAGATTATTCATAGTTGTGTGTGTGTAGATATGTAGTTGTAACTACTACTAGATATGTAGTAGTCTGGCCTGCGGTCATGCTTTATCCATTGGAAAATCATTTTATAGTCAAATCTGCTCATATCATAAAGAGATATTGTGGAATTTGCATGACTCACCAAGTTAGGATTCCTTTTGCAGAGGAACCAGTTTTGGAAAGGTCACAAACCTTTGATTTTAGTCCAGCTTCAATTCAGAGATCCAGAAGTGCGCCTCCACTCCTCTTGTCCTGGTCTTCTTAGACAACGCAGAAGGCCTATTTTTATTTTCGTTTGGTCCAGAGAATGTCTTATTAGTTCTTGCTAGGTTTTTGTTCTCGCTAGCTCTGGTTTAGGACGCCTTTAGTTCTGGTTTAGACCTGGATTACTCCAGATTGAATAACAATTGAAGATCTGGTTTAGTGCCAGTTTGGTCATTGGATCTCACTCTAGTCCTTTGCTTGGTCGCTTTAGTCTCAGTTTAGACTTGCTACAGGGCCGCTTTAGTCCTGGTTAGATCCTGTCATAGTACTCCGCCCCGTTTGGTCCACAGAAAGCCCTGGACTGAGCTGGGATTCGGTACATTCCAGTTCAAAGCTGATTAACTGTGGCTCAGAGGCCATGGAGTTTTTATGGAAAAAACAATACGGACAAAGAAATTCTCCTCCTTTAAATTAAAGTTCATATCTGCTGTCAGAGAAAGAGTTGAAGTTTGAGACGATGAACATTTAAATTTAAATAAGGAAGATTCTAGAATGTCATCTCCCACTTCTACTTTTTCATTGTGTGGAGGAAACGCAGCCAAATGGTTGTTATTCAAGTAGCTGTTTCATAATGTAATGAGATGGGAAATGAGCAGGGATGAGGGAGGGGTCTGATATTAAT